AAACTAGGCTACACACTGTGAGAATTGGGACTATTCGATCACATTCTCGTTTTGAACGTGCGAGGGAGCGTACCTGTGATCTAATCGTTTTAAACCTTGTCGATATATTGCTTACAAAGCTGTAATTTGGAGATTAAGCCTTCATGTGGGTTTTCACTTTTTTTTTAGGTCTTTAGGCTGACCGCAACCCGGTTCCGTCAATAAATTAAATTCCCCACTTATTTATACGTATTCAGTCTGTCAATTCAATTTTTACTGCAATCCCGCACCGTCAATATATTTAACCATCAAAGTTTTTCTTTAATCAAAGCCTTTCTTTTATATTATAAATTAATTTTTTGTTAATCATTTTTTGCGAATAATTATGATATTAAAAGATGAACATTTCGATGTAAAATAAATAAATTTGGAGTATAATTTTTTATGATTAATTTATACCAATTTTTGAAGAAAAAAACTAAAAGATAGTAAAAAAAATTATTTTTTATCACGAGGCCGTAATTTTAGCACTTGGATCTAATTAAAAAAAATAAACACAAAAATCTCCCATTGATGAGATTTCATACTTTTATTGTTTAAACTTTATATATATGATATTGGTGTCATATGAAAGGTTATAAAAAATCATAAAAATTGATATGTTTTTTATAAAATTTGAAGAAAAGATACATAAGTTATAAGACATTTAAGATATTTGGGGTTTTTTAATTTTCTAGCTTTAGTGGAATGCCATGTGCCAATACCTTCTCTTTCCGTGAATATAACCAGCGGAATACCCACTCCCTCCAGGCTATCAAAAATGACTTTCCACCCTACGGTTTGCGGACAACATTAGAGAGGTTGCGGACAACCTTAGAGAGGTTGCGGACAACCTTAGACAGTGGAGCCAATACCCTTTAGTTGGTGTAGATTGTTATGGTTGTACACATAAATTGTACGGAGTATATGTGTTTAGTTGGTTCTCTACTTGGTATTTTAACTACGTTCAGGATATATTAAAAAGCAATTGGTTCTTTAGTTGTAAATATTCTACTTTATTTGCTAACACAACTCTTACAATTAATATTTGTAGCTGCTAGTTTGCTACTGGTAAATATTACTACGTACTCCCTCCGTTCTTTAATATGAGTCTCCTTAGGCTTTAGCACGGGTTTTAATAATAAAATAGTAGGGGTAAAGTAAAAAGTGTAGTAGAAGTAATTAAATGGAAAAGTAGGAAAGCGAATGAATTAATAGATGAAATTAAGTATGTGGGGGAGGAAAGGAAAGAGAAAAACAATGATAATCCAAGGAAAGAGAGGATGACTTTTCCCTCTTTCCAGGCGTACACCTTTTTCCAGGGCCCTACTGCCCTTTCCAATTGCCGCCCAAACAAAGAAGGAGATGACATTTCCCTCCAAATCAAACCCTGCAAGACCCACTATAAATAGAAATGCCTATCTATTTTTACACTTGTATCCTAAAAATAGCAAAACAACAAATGCAATCAGCTTTTCTGCACATCTGAGCTAGCAAATGAACGAAGAAACAGCACCTAGTCCGCACACTTTTTCCAGCAGATCTACTCTTCACATGAGTGCAGCAGCTTCAGATTGTATTCCTCCCGAAGAGATGCTACTGATGGAGCTGGGGCTTGCAGCTGAAGAATATGAAGCTGATGCTGATTTTGAAGATGAGCCCCCATATGTTGAGAACACAGAACCAAACACACAACATTCTGAAGGTAATGTGCCTGAAATAAAAACCACATCAAAGCCCATGACAAAAAGAAGGCTAATAGCAGAAGAATTGTTATCAAAGGCAAGTCAAAATTCAGAGACTAAACTGTTGAGTTGTAAGAGAGGAGTAATGAAAGAAGTTGCGAGTACTCACAATGTTTGCACTAAAACAGTCTGTAGAATCTGGGCATCAACAAAAAAACAAGTTGAGCAAGGTTTGGAAATTAACACAGAAGGAAGAAAAAAAGGGAACTGTGGTAGGAAAAGTATACCAATTGACATTGAACACATACATGCCATTCCTAAGAGCAAGAGAACCACCATGAGAAGCTTGGCAGCTTGTCTTGGGGTTAGTGTTTCCAAAATCCACAAGTTACTAAGTATAGGTATTATAAGATCACATTCAAATGCAATTAAACCTGCTTTGAATGACAAGAACAAACTGGACAGAATGGAGTGGGCAATGTGTCACATAATTCCAAGAAGCATCACTCAACCACCACAGTTCACAAGTATGTTCAATGTCATACATGTGGATGAGAAGTGGTTCTTTATGAGCCAAGTAACTCAAAGATACTACCTTTTACCCTCAGAGGAGGACCCTCATAGAAGCTGTCAAAGTAAAAGATTTATCGACAAGGTCATGTTTTTGGCAGCCATTGCTAGACCATGGATCCATGATGATGGATCAATTATATGGGATGGGAAAATTGGAATTTTCCCTTTCACAGAATTAGTGCCAGCAAAGAGAAAGAGCAAAAATAGAAGTGCAGGGACACTTGAAATTAAGGCAACCACATCTGTCACGAAGGAAGTCATCAGAAATGCATTTCTTACACTATTGGTTCCAGCAATAAAAGAAAAATGGCCCCCCAATGCATGTAAAACTATATGGATACAACAAGACAATGCAAGGCCTCACATAGGTTTGGATGATGCAGCATTCAAGGTTGCAGGTACAATGGATGGGTGGGATATGAAATTGGTCTGTCAGCCTACAAATTCCCCTGATCTAAATATTTTAGATCTAGGGTTTTTTAGAGCTATTCAATCAATTCAGTACCAGAAAAGTCCAAAGACACTCCAACAATTGTTAACAGCAGTACAAGAAGCATATGCAGAATATGGAGCACATAAGGTAAATCACAATTGGCTTCAATTACAAGGTGTCATGGTTGAGATTTTGAAATGCAAAGGAGGCAACAACTACAAAAGCCCTCACATGAGAAAACAGAGATTGGAAAAACAAGGGCTTCTACCAAGTAATTTGGAAGTAAATGATGACTTGCTTTCAGAAACAGTTGCTCATTTGAATGATGCATTGGAGGACAATGAGACAATGACCAGTTAATGCTCAGTTCATGTTTGCAGTCATAAACTCCCCACCCTAGGTATGTAAATTAATGTAGTCCCTATAATGCATTGCAAGGTCAGTTAACTGATGTAGTGAATGAACTACAAAGTTTTGAGTTTTGCCCATTTCAGTTAATGTACACTGCAATGTAAACTTCATGCTTTTGCCTATTCTAAGGTAATGAAATGCATTTGACTTTTCATCATTTGACTTCCTTGTTTAGTTTCTCAGATATACTTGACATATTGTGTATCATCATTGAAAAACTCACTTCTTCTCATAGAAATGAGAGAGCATATTTACAAATCAGAGAGCATACACTGATACCAGAGACACCACAATGATTTCTCAACAATGTGTAGTATCATACAAATCACAGAGTATCATTTGAAATCAGACAGACATCTATGATTTCTCAAAAACATAAGTTATCATAAAATGAGAGAGCATACACTTGATTCAGATACACAACTATGATTTCTCAATAATTAATTGTTATCATAGAAATCATAGAGCATACAAAACAATCAGAGACACAACAGTCATTTATCAAAAATCTTTGTGTTATCATAGAAATCATAGAGGATAATCTGACATCATAGACACACCAATGAATTTTCTAAAAGCTTTGTTATCATAGAAATCAGAGAGCATCCAGTGACATCAGGCACACAACAATGAATTTTCATACACGTTTGGTATCATAGAAATCACACAACAAACATTGAATCCAGAGACACAACAATGATTTCTCACATTAAAAGGCAACAAAGGGAGGGTACGAATAACCCAGTCCTGAACAACATTAAAAGGCAGCAATGGGAGGGTCCAAAGTAGGCATGAAAACATGGGAGTACAACATTCCGAACAACAGAAATGAAATTAGATTACTTATCGGCAAGTGCATGTGCAGTATCAGCACTCAAACACCCTCAACGCTTCCACAATTCATCCCACCCTTTTAGATAATCAGATCCAACCTTCCTTTGAGGGAGTATTAGTTTCAGCATGGCCTCGCTGCCTTTCTGCGCGGCCTCAAATTCAGACGCGGTTTGGTATGGAAGAACTGTCAGAGCCAACCTCGCGTTTCTCTCAATCCATTGCAGATCCGCCTTCTCCGCAGCTTCATTCTTCGCCAGATCTGACAAACGTTTGGTATCATCGAAACGTTGGACTGCCGTTTCAGGCACAAATGCGTCCGCATCGGATTGTTGGACCGACGATTGAACCACACACACCCCGGAATCGGAACCTTGGTCCGGCGTATCAGCCACATATGGTGCAGGAATTATCGTGTCACAGGGGAGATCCATCTGAGGTACTATGGTAGTGCAAGAAGACAGCGAAGGAAGGAGGGTGGAAGGTGAAGAGGGTGGGATGTTTGTGGGAATATATGGTACGCGGTGGATGGGGAGTAATTAAGGTAGTGGGTGGAGAGTAATTAAGGTAGTGGGTGGGGGGATTAATTAGTTTAGGTGTAGGGGTAATAAGTGAGGGTAGAAGATGGGAGGGTATATTGGTATATTTAGAGTAAAAAGTTTCCTTAAATGGAAAGGAGGACAGATAAAAAAACGTCCCAAAAAGGAAAGAAGGACTTTTATTAAAGAACGGAGGGAGTACAAAACTCATGTTTTAAAATTTTACATGAGGCAAATCTAACAGTTATTTCCATGTAATTATACTCAATTTTTATACAATACGGAGTAGTAACTTTAAAAATACAGTAGAAAATATGGTCAAAATAAAATACGTGGATATGAACAAGACAAACTGTTGCTGTTATTGAGACCGAGTGGTTCAATGGTCTTATGTAAAATACTCTTTACTATGTCCGATTAAGCTGAAGTTTGTTTAGAGATGAATGTCCGATTAATCTGAAGTTTGTTTAGAGATGAGTTTGCAGAGTTTGATTCATTCATCAATCACATTTTCAATCGAAGTATAAATGTGCATGTACAAACTCAATCCATTGCTTATTTGCTTTATCAACTGAAAGAATCAAATTTGATATACAAACTCAAAGGGGAAGTGTGGATTACATCTCTATCTATATCGCCCATTACAGAAGAGCAAACAAAATACACTTGATTCAAGATTGACCCAGAATGGCCAGAAGGCCCAGAATGGTTATTTGGCAATATTGATGACCAGAATGCATTATCTCAGTCCTGAATGACCAGAAATAGTGGGAATAATCTTTAGACCGGTATAGGCAAGTTTATAGTGATGGTTATTTTAAATGAGTGTTGATACTTGTAAAAGGCAATTTATTTTGACCAGAACTACTTTTATAACCTTGCACAGAGACCTTAGTTAGAAAAAGTTAAGCATTCTAAACAAAAACTTGTTCTATCCACAATAGCACTCTAAAGTCTACACATGCATCGGTGTCACTACTAAGACACAATCTAGAAAAACCCTATGGGAGTCCTAAACAGATCACAGATCATCCTATTAGTACTTTCCACCCAAGTATATACTTATGAAATCTCGACCCTCTTTCTGTTCCGCTTTCACAGCCTCTCCTTTCGGCATTGGTTTAGTCATAAAGCTGCTGGCCTCGCTCTCCAAAACATCACTGTGAACGAACAAAGCAGAGATGCTCAGAGTGGTTATGGAAATGGACTATACATAAGACTTAAATGTCTATGGTCCTTACAAATGTGATGTTTTTTTTTTGCTTTACACCTGATTAAGATAATAAATGCCAGTGAAATAAACTGGTGTTCTAAATTCATACCTGTCGGGGGCTTCTGTCTTGGTAATCAAAGTGATTCCACGAGATATAACATGGTCACAAAAATTACTGATATCTTTTCCTTTGCAGAATTTATATAGATCACGTAGCACATCGTTGAACTGCTTTGGCTCCTATATAGACAAAAAAAGGTCACTCAAGCACAAGTGTTCCCGTCATCTTTTGTGCCCATTTGGAACCTCATAAAATGCTATTGGGAGATATATGAAGAGAAGTATGGGAGAAATTTGGCCAAAAGAAGATGGGGGAAATAAAAATTGATTTGGACTCAATAAATTTATTTTGGCATTCATTGAGAGTTTGAGACTCAAATCTAAACATACTGAAAAGTATTTTAGAATGATCACATTCTATTTCCTTGTGCAAATTCTGATGTAAAGCCTAACACAAGAAAATAACTTTCCTTAACATATATTCTCAGTTGGTTAGCATTTCCCAGGATCCAAACACAACCTTGAATTTTTGGAGGAAAGGGGATTTAGCATATACCTGTTCTAGGATGCAACCATTACGTAGAGCAACTAAACATTCCAATGCTTTCTTATATGTGTCCCCTTCAAAAGAGTCTTCTACCAGATTAAAGATCTTAGTTTTCATTTCCTGAATAGCCTTATTAACCCATTTTGGGCTGTCTCTTCGAGATATCATGTCTTCAAAATCTTTAATAGGATTTTCGTCTCCTATTTTTTCAGTTTTGATATTATTAACTGCTTGGTCATCAGTGGGTTTGTTGAAACCTCTTCCATCTCCCTCATCTGGTCCGCTTATGTTATTTCTTAACAATCTTCTTGTTGATTTCTTCATCTGCACGAAAAGTATGTACAGTTAATTTTCTATCCCAAAAAAAGAGTCCCATTTGATGTAAACGTTTCCTTTATATTTAATGTAATTTTTGAAAACCAAGTGTCCCACATAAGTCTGTTTTTACAAAATTTTGTTTGGGTGCTTAGTTTCTAGGGACTATCAATAAATTTAATTAAGCATCTTAGATTTAGTTAATCAATCAATTAATTTAATAGTATGTATATAATTGACGATTTTCCAATAACAATTGTTAGTTACAATGGTAAACACGACTCTTCAATGGGACAGAGTGATTAATATAATATGAAAAAAAATCCAATTATATCAAGTAGGACCCTGCCCATCAAATTACCATGGGGTTCTCTTTCAGTTCAAAACACCTTCTGAATTCATCAATTATGGTCTTGTTTTGAGAAAGAAGATCAGGATCAGGATCTGTTATCCTCCTGAGCGAATCATGGAGTGGAGGAACAGCAGCATCTGGATGCTTTGACTTCAATTCAAGATAGTGATAATACCTCTGAAGATTTCACAACAATATCGAGACTAATCACATACATGAAGAAAAAGAAAAAGAAAATGAACTTACTGTAAGAACATATGATGGATCGATCACATGGAAGCATCTTTTATAAATGCATAGTATTACTAGAGAAAAACCTCATGGGTTACACACCCCTATGATATTAAACCCACACCCCTATGAAATTAATATCGTTGTTATTATTGCTGTTATTTTATCATTAACTCAATAGAGCTACATTATTGATGGAAGGGTCAAATTATAATTTCATGCAACTCTAACCCATGAGGTAACCTATGATAGCATTCTCTGGACCATATTATAAGGTATAATAGAACATATTACTGAAAAAAGATGGGTTAATCATATCCCATAATCTAAGAAAAATTTGTGTTTGGCATGACTTTTAGGAAAACAAAGGAGATAGTAGTTACTTTACAATTGTAGCCATTTAAAAAGAGGAAAATGTAGTATGAGTGCCAAAAAACATAAAACGTGCAATGGTAGATAAGAGACCATAATTATGAAGAACAAAAAGGATAGTGTATACATCAAAACCGGACAGGAGTAATTGTTTTCATTCTTAAAAAAAAAGGATATCCCACGTTTACCCTCTTTTTTATTGTGCCATGTAAGTGGTTGTTTTAAAAAGCAATTAACAATTCATAGAAAAAAAGCACCATTTGACTTATAAATATAATAAGGACCGGAAGAAGTATTTGGCTTTCATGTGTGATCTAGATACCTGTAATACAGGATTAGGTGTGAGCTCGGGCAGCAAAGCTTCCTGACGATCAGCTGGTGCAAGGTTGAGCATTTTCACAAGATTATCCGCCGCCTCCTGTTGTTCTTCATTTGGAAGCATTCCTGAAGGAAAATTGCTGAAAGACGGGAACTGAAACTCCCTTACATCCTCAGCGAATGGAAGGACATTGAAGTAGAATGAATCCGGCTGTGATGATCCAGAACCCCAGATCAAATAAGAAAACCAATAAAAAGTAAACCCATCAATATATTTCTTTAAAAAGGAAATCTAAAAGAATGATGCATTCACACTTACAACATTGTCCTTGAGAGATACATAAGGAGTAAGGACTCCTATAACCACATTTCCCTGCCCTTGTCTCCATACACAACGCACAATCGCCACTCTGTTCATATCTTTCATCGCCCTTGCCAAAGCAGAGACTGCAAGAATGGCTTTAGAATTCCCCGGTTCAGCTATGAACACATTTGCATCTTTCATATAGTAGTGCCTTTTTGGGTAGTAGAAGATGGAACATGAAAGAAAAAATCAATAATTGAAAGGACATAAGTCTAATTAAATGTCAGCCCAAATTATACACCATGCAAATGCAATTCAATGCAGCTTGAAACCATTAGGCTCATTGTCAGTGACTTCCCTCAAGATACAATAGCATTCCCCATGTTTGATAAATGTATGCAATCACACCCATGGAAAGTCTATCATTGACCTCCTTTATAAAAGTAAATGCCTAATTTATTTATTTTAATAGTATGGGGATCTTTGTGATAGTACGTTAAACCTTGAGGGAGATAACCGATAGTAACCCCATATTACCGCATTATATTTGAAGAGTCTGTAAATCCAAGAAGCTTCACGCCTTTCTCTGGTTTGAACTTCACAGCCTCCCATTCAGCAGAAGATATGGGAACTACTTGAGGTCCATATCGGTAACCTTTGATCCTATGTTCTGGCGGAACAACTTTGCTTTGGTCTTGAGTGTGTTTATATTCATAATCAATCTTAACTTCATGCTTAGCAAACTTGTCAGTGTGATGTGCTTTATCAGAATACATTTTTAGTGTGGGAAATCTCTCTTCCACTGTTTTCTTATACACCCATACCTATCAGACAGCAAAGGAAAAAACAATATAAGGTTCCGTGCGGTAACTAAAAGTGCCTTATTCTGCTTCTGCTCACCAGAGAAATACAGAATCATAAGATTCAGTAGTTCTTTACTTATTTGAATGAAATGGAAGTTACCAAACACTTCTCCAGTTAGAAAATTGGGCAGATTCAACCATTCCAGCCAAATGACCCTTACCAAACGGACTGTGAGTAACAGAGTGGTACTTTGACGATAAACAACAGAACATGAAAAATGGAAAGATAAATAAAATAAAATCAGAAGTGGCTCAAAACTTGTACCCACATCTTAATCTCACCTTGATCTTCAATTGGGAACTGATTTCAAAATCGCCTCTATATGTTGTGACAGGAGAAATATTACGAGTTCTTACTGCGCCCAACAATGAAGTTGCACTTTCAACATAAACTGTTTTTGAGGAAGACTTCTTTGAAAATACAGATAAAAGAAAATCATTTTCTTCCATTATCTTTTTTGCATCGAGATCTTTTGTCATTCTAACAATGACAGAGTCCATCTTCATGCCATAAGCTTTCATTTGAGATGCAACTGTGCTGACTTGATCTTCCTTTGTTCCTTCATATGGATCTTTAATTGGGCATATTGCATTTGTGATGAGGCAGAGACGCTTCTTTCCTTTGTTGGTTTCTGCATATTTCTTGATCACCATGTCCATCCCAACAATAACGGCATCAAGAACTCATAAAAAATGTTAAGGTTTTCAAAACCAAGAAGTAACCATTCAATGAATGGAAAACCACATTAGATGCATCATAATATTTGTTCAGCTAAATTATAAAGTCTACAGCTCATATAAAGTTATAAACAACTTCAATCTTCTCATACACAGGTTGTTTTAGAAGAGAAAACCTTACGGCCGGTTTGGAGCGCAAAAAATGTTAGGGAGTGACAAAAGGAAGGACATTTGGAAGGAATAGAAATGTGAGGGGAAATTAAATATCAGATCACTAATACATAAATATATCACAAAAAATCTCTAATGCATCAACATTAGATATTAGTTCAAACTCATTTCATTTAAATATTTCTATTACATAAGACTAGTAAATTTAAATATATACTAGAAATCTAAAATATTTAAAAGTTCTAACCAAAACAGATTACCCTCTGTAATTTAAGAAAATCATTTCACTAGTTTTTTCTTCCATCAATGACATGTTTCCAAGCTCCAAACATAGCTTTAAACACTACAGCTAACTTAAATACATATTAAGCATGCACAGGATACAATCACCTCTAAAGCTTCCTCGAGGAAGATGCTCAACAGCTCCAACAAGATCATCATCAACGACTTTGATACTCCTCAAAACAGTCACATGCTCATATCCTCCCACTTCTTTTGTCAACTCATTTGCAGTCTCTAAGACAATGGCAGAAAATATTCTAATACCAAGATAACAATAGCATTCAATGATGGAAACAAAGTACAAAAGGATAATAAGATATAATAAAAACAATAATATGAATAATACTATTTATATAAATATAAATTCTAGTAGCTGTAGATACCTGTAGTGCCAAATAAAATAACTCCCACTTCATCATACTTGCTATAGACCATCTATATACAACAAGATTAGCCGAACAGCTTTACAAGAGGGAGTACTAAAAAGGTAAAATAGGAACCTTGATAAGAAATAAGAAGCAAGTACCTTCTTTTGCACTAACAATGCGCAAACCTTCTCAATTTCGGGAAGAACAGAATGCATAGAAGGACCCACATCGATGACCAATACCAAACCCTCCTATTCGAGTTCAGAAAATTCACAGGTCAAGTTCCATACGGAGAATAATAGACTTGATTGTGAAGAGAGGTACTGAGCAAAAAGAAGAGAAATGAGAAAAACAGAGATGAATGAACATAAGAGAGAAACTTGCCTTATTTCGGGCCATTTCAAGAAATTTTTAACTTCCTTGAGTTGACAGACGTGATTTTTAGTGATGTGCAGTTCTTGTTCTCTCCAGGAGCCTAGTTTGCCAGACCACTAAGCGACGATACAATACTCTACGGGGATTTTTTGGCTTTGCGTTTTTCTGGGATAAATGGAAAGGATGGTTAACAGGCATTGACACCATTTGGCATTAGAATTGAGTTAAGTCAATTGAGTATATGACATGGACAGTACATTATATTGCATTTGATTTTTTTAAGTACACAAAATCAGGATTTTGGTGTTAATTGAGTACATCCGTTAGATTAACACGTTAATACGGCTTAGTTGGTTAACAGAACGCTAATAGGACGACTTCTTGAAAGTCGAGCCAGCCCCAACCACTTCTCCTTGATCGACGTTAGTCCCCAGCAGGTCGACTTCTCCTTGGTCGATACACCCCTGCTGGCCGACGCCCCCCGCAGGTCGACCTCCGAATGTCGATTTTCCCTTTTTGGTCGACTTCGGGAAGGTTGGCGCCATAACCTTGGTCTATTGCCCCTTCTTACTTAACATTCTGTTAGCCAATTTAGTTGTATTAACCTGTTAATCTAACAGGTCACGAGTGTACTCAATTAACATTAAAAATCTGAATTTGTGTAATTAAAAAGATAAAATGCAATATAATGTACTTTTTACTCCATCTCATACAAGTTGATGTACTCAATTAATTCTTTCCTCAATTAGAATTGGTTAATTTGAAATTTTGACTTTTGGTCGAGATAAAATTGAATTTTGCATATCATTTACAAAAACATAAAATTGATACTCGTGTATGCACTCTACATTATTATGAAAATTAATCTTCTACCTCATTTCTTTATAATTTTTTACTACATTAATTTTTCTAAAAGCTAAATCAGATATTGCACTAAATGTTGCTCCATAAATCCAAATGCAGTGTACTTTTCCATTACAAATAATTATAATCCCGTTTTTATGGCATTTTCCAAACCATTAGGGATGTGGGAATGAAATGAATGAAAAAGTGATTTTGGAGAGAAAAAAAGATTTCACAAACATATTTTTAACATAAGATGTTTGAGAGTCTAAAAATTAATCTTCTACCTAATTTTTTCATGATTTTTACTTAATGGGTCCTCACATTAATTTTTCTTAAAGACTAATTCTGATATCTCCCTAAATATGACTTTGTAAATTGCTAAATTCAAATGCACGTACCCATCCATTAGACATTGATTATCATTTCATTTTCATCCCATTCTCCAAACTTTGTCTAATTGGCAACATTGTAATTTTCAAAAAGAAAAACTAAATTGATGGGGGAATGAGATGAACGGGAAATAACCTTACCTTGAAGAAATGATGATTTCAGAGCAAAAAGTTTTAACAAACATATCATCAACATATTATATTTTAGCTTATACACACCAATTTGGGATATAAGCCATCCTCTAATTTGTGTGTAAGCTTGTATGATGGTAATTTAAGTGGGATGATGATAATTTTTTCGCTTGTATAGTTATATTCGGGCGAGTCTCTTGTCATTAGTACTCTAAACTTCTTAAGTATTGCACTTGGTTCATTTTTCATTGAGATGTCATTTCCATTTATTCAAAACTATTTTCACCTAATATTTGGTATGTTTCACTAAGTACGGATTCTTCATATATGTCACTGGTGCCTGGTGGAGTCTTGAAAGTTATACAGAGAGAGTATAACTTTTCGATATTATTAAGTTTATTGTAAGTGAAACTAAATTTTATAGAATATACCTTAATTTGTGATGTGGTGATACCTAATTTTAGTATGAAGAGAACCATTTGATGAACTAAAACATGGAAAAAGTGATGTATGATTTTCTAAAAAATATTGAGTTTGATTTAATAATCAATATATTTTCTTATAATTTAATTAGATATTCCACACTTCCACCCATCTTTTTGAAATAAGATATTCCCCCCATCTTGAAAAATAATCTCTTTCACGTTTTCTTCCTATCTCAAATCAAGCAAGATTATTTTAAGAATAAAATTGTTGAACACCAAGGAGGGAAAAGAATAATAATAAAATAATGGAAATGGACGGGATAAAGAAAATCTCAGACACCATACCTACGGCAAAAAAGACCCACCCGTTTCCTCGGCCTCCTCGAACGTCAACTGCTCCGACCGACAAGCCGCGGAGAAAGGGGACGAGTCAAAGAAGCTGAGAAGAGAAGGAAGGGGCCATGGTGGATCTCTTTTCATGGCTTCTTTCCTTCTTCCTTCTTGTCGCCATTCTTGGTCTTCTCCTTTACCAGGTTAACGAAATCCCTTTCCTTTTTAGATTTCCTTAACCTTTTTAGTTTTTCTTGATCAGTTAGTCAATCAAGAAACATGGAATTTATCATCCTATTGTAGAAATTATCTGTTTAATCTCGGAATTACTCATTACTCATCTGATTGCTGGCGAGGCAACCCATATTTTGAGCTTAAAAGAACTGTTTTTTTTTATTGAATGCTGCTAAAAGGACCGAGAGAGAACATTTGATTAGCAATATAATAATTGCAGGATTAATTCCTTCTCAAAGATATAGAATTTTGATGCGAAAAACTGATTTTTGCCATACAAAGTAGCAATAGCTATCAAATCTGGGCTTTATTCTTTATTAAGGCGTCTGGTCAGATTGGTAGAGGCAGTACCCAGTACCCACGACTAGGTTGATTTGTAACTTCATACTTGGCTTACTTGGGATATCTTGCATTCTTTGCAATGAATTTATAGCTTATACTAAATTAATTGACACTGGACATTTCATTGCCACCGAGTGGGATCTGAGATTAAGGCGTTGATGATGATGATGATGATGATTCTCAGGAGCATCGTTTTGTGTTTATTTTTTTGTGTGTGAATAAAATAACACCTGGAATAAAATTTGCAGCTAATGTGCTTGGCGGACTTGGAGTGTGATTATATCAATCCATATGATTCAGCATCCCGGATAAATAAAGTGGTAGTGCCAAGTTACATAATTGAAGGGGTGCTATGCATTCTGCATCTTATAACAGGCCATTGGTTTATGTTTCTGCTGTGTCTCCCATATTTGTACTACAACTTTAGAGTGTAAGTTTATCCCCTTTTCCTAAAATTGGTAATTACTCTGTAGTATTTTTAGTTCTTTACTCAAGTTGTTGACGGTATGCCTCAGCCATCATCACCTAACTGTGTTTCAACCTAGGTATTACTCCGTATCTTTATAGGAATTTCAAAGAGAGACCTTTGTGTGTGTTCTTACTGGAGAGCATGCCCCATCTTCTGTCATTAACTAATATGATAGTATATATAGGGCCAGTTTGGTCAGAGTAGTTATTTTTTTCTGACTAACGGTTGCATATGCTGGATTTTCTTAGGCAAAGTTATAATTGGCTACCAAATGGAGCCTTTAATCAGTTAATGTAGATTATGGACTGCCTCTTTTTAGATTTTCTCGGATCAGCCAAATACTTGGTACTTCACAAAATGGGAGTTAATTCCACCTTTGGTCTCAAGACTATTATGGGGGAATCAGTTGTTCAGAAGTTGGTCTCCCTCAACTTCTGAAAACCTGCTCTGGAGCAATTTTGAGCACTTAGGAGCACTTCTGCAATTTTACACAAACACTCTCATTTCTGCTTCTGCTCCCTAAAGGAGCAAAAGGAGTTTTAACTTTTAAGAAGCAGATCCAAACAGCCCCAAGTAATTTGTAGTTTTGGCCCCCAGCTTTTTTTTCTCACGTTTACTCCAACGAGTATTTTTTTTTGTCACTTATGGTCCTTCCAATCACTTGCCTAATTGCCTGGTTTATTCACGTACAATTTTCGGTTGAATTATGCTGGAAAAGTGGCAGGAATAACGTCTATAGCTGTGGGACTAAACGTGGACAAATGAAATTAGGGACCAAGAATAGGAATGAATCCATAGTAGTGGGACCAAAGCACACAGCATTTATAACACAGTGCAGAAGTTACTTTTTTAGTGTACTCAATGTAATTTCACTTCAAACTTCATTTATTGAAAGAAATGCAATTTTCTTTAATTTTTTATTAACATCTAAATTAACATGTTTGGGCAATTTTGTCATAATTCTAACAAGTTCAGCCATTTTAGGTCTTACCATATGTGAAAGCACTTAAACTCTTCTTGAATAAAAATATATCAAGTAATAAAAGTTCTTTTTTAATACATATATACTCCTTATATAGTATAGCAGCAGATGTTCATATAACATCAGAGTTTGATGGTTTTTTATTAACTGCGTCTTCTTATTTGGCTTGCTGACTATCGCCATTTATGATGCTTTACCAGCTATAGTCAAGCCCAACACTTGTTAGATGTGACAGAGATTTTTACTCAGCTCCCGTGGGCAAAGAAGATACGCTTATACAAACTCGGATACCTAGTCATTCTCCTTGCTGTCTCCATGTTTTGGTATGCTATCCGGGGGGTGACATGCCCTTTGCTTTTTAACTCTCATAGGGCGATCCAAAGCTCATCTATTTGATACTTTGATGCATACAATTAATGCCTTCTTTTGTGATCTATATTTTCTAGGATGGTATGGACCATAGTTGATGATTGAAGGTGCCCTCTGGCATTCGTTTTCAGTGTTTGATCATTATCGGCTGGGTGTGCGGAAGGAAAATATGCTTTGTCCTCTGAAACTAGTTTTTTTTATTGTAATTTCCAATCTTGTATTACTAGTTAGCATACAAAGGTTAGCTCTAAATAGCGTAAACTAATTGTTCTACTTGTATCCCCCAACACATTGTATTGTAGTATTTTACTAATATAATTTTTAGAGCACAGGTTTGAGACGGTTGAGATAGAGTGTGATCTAATGGTTTAGAGCACCTTTGTTAATTATAGGGTGCAAATGAGCGGAGCCGAACTAAAACTTGGTCATGTTTGAACTTGATAGGAATACACTTACTTGAGTTCGAACGAGCCTAATAATTGTCGCTCAAAGCTCAAACCAAGCTCGAGTTCAGCTCGTGCTCGGCTCAAATTTTGCTAATTAATTTTCTTAGGTTTGAGCATGAACAAAATGCTCGAACTTGAGCCAGAAAAATAAAATTTGTATACTCAAAATTATTAATATTATATTCCCCCATAAAACCACCGGACTTGGTGGGTTAAGAGAAGAGAAACTCTTACAAAGTTTATTTGTACAAAGTACAAAC